ATTCTACTTTTTCCTTTCTTAGGTGGCCCAAGGGGCTAGGTAACCAAGCCAGGTATATTTAAAATTCATTATTTCTGGGCTATTTCTAGCCAGTTTGTTTACTTATTTTCATTTTTAGTTTGGTCTTGACACACAGACAGATGTGTACCAACTGTCTATGTTTTATATTTGGGTGAATACCTGGAAGTGGCATGTGGCAGGAGGCAAGGATGAAGAGAAAGGAGTGTAAATTATCCTTTAGCTTTCAAGTCCACTCACTGGTCTCCTTCTACTCCAGCTAGAAAAGTTTGGGGCTCTATATCTCACTCTGTTACTTTTTCGATTATCTTTCCTGATGATTAACACCTTCATTACACTCTCAGTCCATCTCTCTTACATAAGATGTCATGACTGATTCTTTTCTCTAATGTCTTTTTGCACTTTGACTTTCCACTTCTTTTGTTACAATAATCTTCATACAAGCCATCAACTTTACAAAGAACAAGAACAAGAATCCTGTGCTTCCTGAGCTGCAATTTTTATTTGTATGTGTGTGTGTGTGTGTGTGTGTGTGTGTGTGTGTGTGTGTGTGTGTGTGAGTGATTGAGTGCAATTGTCCACAGAGGCCAGAAGACAGAGTCAGATTCCCTGGAGTTGGAGTTACAAGTGGTTATAAGTCCCCTAATTGGTGCAGAAAAACCAGTTTGGGTTCTCTCTAGAAGAGTAGGAAGTGCACTAAACCTCTGAACCAGCCCCCAAACAAAACAGTCGAGGCTCACATACTGATTCTTTGACTCTGGAATTATTGTTCTATTTCTGATAATTGAAAAGTCTAACTTTATACTTTTCACTTTCTGAATAATTCCATATCCTGTGAGTATAAACTTATCTAGCAAATTCTGGAGACAACCTTCTAACTTTTCTTTCTTTCTTTTTCACAAATTGGACTTTCTATTGTCACTATAGGAAGTCTGAATTTTAAGTAGTTTTTTTGGTTCGTATCAATCAGCTTGTTCAACTTTAACACCTGACTCATCATGGGTAGAGCCTCCATGAGTTTTCTCAATTCAAACGTGGATTTTTCAGCATTTTTATTTTTCTAAGGAAGACATCGTGATGAGAATAATTAGACATGTAGATATAATCTATGTCTTTCCCATCGCTGTCTGCAATCAATGTATTAACCATTTCCTTCAAGTCAATTGCCTGCCCTTCTCGGGTGATGATTTTCATTATCTTCCAGATCTGGAGGACCTGCCATTGCTTCACACAGGATGTCTTGCATGTCTGGTAGTTGTATTTTTTTTAGTGAAACCAGCACAGAGCAGAAGGAACAAAGAGCCATCAAAGAACCATCAGTTGTATTGATATCAACACAAGCTTCAGTCACAGTCTGGTCTACTACTTTTTGACCATGGGGCACATTTTGTCCTGGGTAGCATCCATGCCATGGAAGTTAATCATCTTTTCTTTCTTTTTTTCTTTTACTTTTTTTTTTTTGCCCTGAAAGTACTCAGTAATCAGCTTGAATTTTCTAAATGCAATTTTGTCACTCTTCAAACCCCCCACAACCCTGGAGGCCATCAGATGCAATTTTGGTCCCCTGAGTCCTTCTGACTAGTGTTCTTGAGATGTTTCTAAAATTGAGCATAACTGTAGCTGGAGTTTCCACATCATACCAGTCTTTCTTAGAAAATGGGTCAACCACTGTCTTCCTGGCTCCCTTCAGGATGCCTTTAGTCAGGCCTTATTCTTTCTGATGGCTGCCTTGGTGCCCCTCAGAGAGCCAAAGGGGAGGAAGTAGGCAGAGCTTGATTGAGAACTTCCATGAATGGGGCAGAATTGGGGGGGAGGGGAGGGGTTGAATTGAGATGATTCCCATGTATGGGATTGGGATCAGCTGTGCATCTCATCAACTTTAAAGAGTTGGGGGCATCTTACACAGCTACAGTCACTATCATCATAATTGCCAATGGTATTATTTTGTTATTAACTTCATCGCTGAGTGAAAAGAAACTGGTTTGTTTGATTTCGAAAATAGTGGCTTTACTTCTAAGAAGAGAACACAGTGCATGGCTACCTCGTATCACTCCATGGTGGCAAGCACTTTCTATTGTCCTCAATGTGGTGGCCACATGTTTTCTGTTTCTTTTTCTCCCAGATAGCTAAAAAGCAAGAGAGTTTGGAGGAAATGAAAGGTGGAGAAAATGGACTTTTCTTTTTCTTTTATGGCATTTAGAGTATGTGACAATGGGCTCATACATGCCTGAAGGTATGCATATGTTCGTATGTGTGTGTTTAATAAAGAAAGTAAACAAAGCACATGTGTACAAATCACCTTTTCTTTTCTTTTCTTTTTTTGTTTTTGTTTTTTTTTTCAAGACAGGGTTTCCCTGTGTAGCTTTGGAGCCAGTCCTGGAACTAGCTCTTGTAGACCAGGCTGGTCTCACACTCACAGAGATCCACCTGCCTCTGCCTCCTGAGTGCTGGAATTAAAGATGTGTGCCACCATCGCCCAGCAAGTACCCAATATTTTAAAGTCAAGGAATTATTTTTTCAGTATTAATGGCCATAATATAACATTGCAGTGGATGAATTGAAAATAGAATAAATGGATATTCAAGAAAATCAGAGTTATTGAAACTTGGAAAAATACTTTGAAGAGCATTTGGCTTAATTTCTGACAAAGAACTGAGAACCAGACAACATAAAACACATACAGAGAAGCGTTTTCCCTCCCCCTCCTATCCCTTTCCCATCCTCTTTTCCCCTCTTCCCCTCCTTTCCTTTTCCCTCCCTTCCCAAGTACCAAAACTGAAAACAAAGGCAAGTTATCTGAGATCCAGCACAAACTTTCTACCCTCCCATTGACAGCCACTTTGTTCTTGTACTCTAACTTGACCTCCACAGAAAATGTCTTCCCTCAGAAACCTGTGGTCAAGTAATAACTGTGCCCAGCCTTTCACTTCAGGAGATAAACTATTCGTGGACAGATATAGAGCCTTTTTTCAGATGAAAGATAATTCCACTCAGTCTCTTCCCATTTCTCCTTATAATTCCATCTGTCTATTCAAATTATAGACACCTGTTTTTTTTCTTTCTTTTTTTACTCTGTCTCCCTCACCAGGTCTAGAGAAATCAAGCAGTTAGTTTTATGCCTTTTAGACAGACAGCAAAATGACAACTAGCATCATCTTAGAGATTGCTTTGTTCAGAGAAGAATTCACTGTTGATTTGCTGTGAGTGAATTTGTACTTAAAGTTTATGTTCATCATATAGGCAATAGATTTACCACATGTGGGCAAAATTCTGTGTCCTATCCCTTGTGACCAAGGTATGTGGTCATTACGGACTCCATCTAACTTGACTCAAAGCCAGCCTGGGTTCTGTGTCATGTGATTTAAGTAGCTGAAAGAAGCAGCCCCACCCCCCTCTATGTCAGTTAGGGATACTCCTGTGACAGATGTCAGAAACCAGCTATGTTAATCCATAAAAGAATGCACCAGAGAACCTGAGGGAAATGCTGAAAAGCCAAAACCTGTCACTTCTTTCTAGCAGTGGGAGGAGGAATATTTTTGGCCATGTGACCAACTTGACATTCAGATTCTAGGAAGATGGTTTAATTAGGACAAACTCAGATCTCATGACCAGTTCTTGAAGAAGTCTCATGAATGCCTTGTCAATCCAACCTCACTACAGAGGTGGGGGTGGAGTGAGGGTAGGGTATCAGAGGTCCAAGGCAGACTTTTCCAAAGAACGGAACAAAAGGGGAAACAGATATGAAGCAGTCAAACTAACAGATGACCACCAAATCCCCTCGTGGTCTGTTATGGAAAGACAGAGACCAAGAGGTGGAGATTAAAGTGTGTCTAGACAACAGCTCAATGATGGGACCAATAAAATGGATACTAAACTCTGGTTTTGCCTTGTAGTTTAAATAGGGCCACTTAGTGGCAATTTCTCTTTGAATTCGGTCCAGAACTGCCCAGCCCCTGAGTCGGATGTGAATAGCTGGTGTATTAAGCGTCTCTCTCCAATTGCCCACTACCGTCCTACTCATTCTCCTGATCACACCTACTGCCTTCTCTGTACTTAACCCTGACCTCGAAGGTTCTTTCTCTTGTAACGCCTTTGCGTAGATTGGAAGAGGAATTAAAAGCTGCTGGATACTTTACTGAGTTTCAATATTTAATACTGGTAATTTGAGTGTAATGTGTGAAGTCAAACCTTATTAGCCACATGAGAGAAAGAGTAAGAAATCAAATAAAATATCACTTGAAGACGACTTCGAACACTCTTTAGACCTTCCTCTAACTCCCCCTTATACAGTACAAATTAGGCCGAGGAGAGGAGAGGAGAGGAGAGGAGAGGAGAGAGAGAGAGAGAGAGAGAGAGAGAGAGAGAGAGAGAGAGAGAGAGAGAGAGAGAGAGAGAGAGAGAGAGAGAGAGAGAGAGAGAGAGAGAGAGAGAGAGAGAGAGAGCGCTCTGGATTTATTCACTGCTTCAACGTAGCAAGCTTTGTTCCCTGTAAATTTTCACTTTGGTTATTAAAATACTCACTGTAGGAAACAGATTTGTAACCCATTTCTCATATTACCTACAGCCAGAAAAACAAAATTTGATATCCTGGGGTTTATTTGCTGAGGGCGCTTCCCATAAAAGCGGGGTGAGTGTGCTTTGGGAAATTCGTCTGGTTAACCTCCCCCATCTCAACAGGCACACTTTGGCCTCATGGCTCTCCCCACCTCTTGACTTCCCGCCTCTCCGGGGCTGGTGACCTAATAGCATTTTTCTTCATGCATATTTTGGCTTGGGCCCACGGCCTGGCTGCCTTCGCCTGTCTGAGTCTTTTGAAATTCCTGCATGTTCGGCCCAGATTAAGTCGAGTGTGTCTCAGGATGTGTGTTCCGTTTTGTTCTTTCCCCTTAGCTCTCCCTGTGCAACGTGTCTGGGGAGGAGGGGAGTGGGGCGGAGAGGGGAGGAGGGGCAGAGTGGAGGAGCTGTCCGCCTCGCACGTTTCCAATCCCATTACGTGAACAAATAGCGGAGGGGCAGCAGGGCCAGAACGGCTTGTGTAACTGCAAACTTGTCAGAAAGTTTAAAATCTTTCTTTTACTCTAGACACTGTGCGCTCTCTGGGACCGCCGCCTTTCAGGACTGGGAAAGGGGAGAGAAAGACCGTGCCACGTCCGACGGCCGCCTGGGCTGGGGGCAGGGTCTGCCGTCCGCCCTTGGCACGACTCCCTGCGACCCATCCCCGCGCCTCGCCCTCCTCCCGGCGAGAAGCGGTCTCCTTCCTTCGCGGGATCTGAGCCCTGTCTGCATTTTCTCCCAGCCAGGTCCTCCCCAAAAGGGACTATCCGGGAGAGCCATGCGTTTCGCCTGGACCGTCCTTCTGTTGGGGTCGCTGCAGCTCTGTCCCCTTCTACGCTGCGCCCCGCAGGCCCCGAGGGAGCCACCCGCCGCCCCGGGCGCCTGGCGCCAGACAATCCAATGGGAGAACAATGGGCAGGTGTTCAGTCTGCTGAGCCTGGGGGCGCAGTATCAGCCGCAGCGACGCCGCGACCCTAGCGCCGCCGCTGCCCCGGGACCCGACGGCAATGCCGCCCCGCAGCCGCGCACGCCCATTCTGCTGCTGCGTGACAACCGCACGGCTGCTGCCCGTGCTCGGACACCAAGCCCGTCTGGGGTTGCCCCCAGCCGTCCCCGGCCCGCCGCCCGCCACTGGTTCCAAGCTGGCTTCTCGCCGTCGGGGGCTCGCGACGGTGCTTCACGGCGCCCAGGGAACCGGACTGAGTCGCCTCAGCTCCCGCAGCTCAGTAACCTGAGGCCTCCCAGCCACGTAGACCGCATGGTGGGCGACGACCCCTACAACCCCTACAAATACTCCGACGACAATCCCTATTATAACTACTATGACACCTATGAGAGGCCCCGGCCTGGGAGCAGGTACCGACCCGGATACGGCACCGGCTACTTCCAGTACGGTAAGCACCCCGCAGCTCCACGGGAGGCACCTGGGCACCCTGGCTGCAGGTCGGTGCTGTCTAGACGCGATGGTCTGAGAGCGTCGGGCCGGATCCCCGCAGACCCGACCCCCCTACTTCCCCCTCGCCTGCCCTGCCAGCTCCGGAATCCGATGGAAACCGCGCTCCTGGCTCCAGCAGCTTTTTCTTCCCTTTCCTTACTAGTCCTGGCGGTCCCTATTCTTCCACACACTCGGCCCCTCCCTGCGGACTTGGTGGGCAAAGGGTGACAAAGAGGGGCCGTGGAGTCACACAGGTCATCTGCTTGTCTTATTTTTAGGTCTTCCGGACCTGGTGCCGGACCCCTACTACATCCAGGCATCTACGTATGTGCAGAAGATGTCTATGTACAACTTGAGATGCGCTGCGGAAGAAAACTGCCTGGCCAGGTAAGCATTTCCACAGCCCGGCTCCCCATTTTGATCCCGGGATCACCCCGGCGCCTCGTTCTGACCGCTATTTAGTGCAGACCAGGGCCAGGATGTGGGACAAGGGCTGGGAAAGTGGGACGTGACCTCCTGGGCATGCTGACTTGGACAGAAAGTTAAGTTGGAATGTTTTTATGGGTACCGCCTCATTGAGAGGCGCGAATCGGGGGAGGGGGCAAAAACCCTTATTCTGGAGACTGGGTCTCGGGTTCTTTCCCAAGATGCCTATTAGGAATTGGCGCCAACGATTTTCAACAGCTTTCTATAAAACAGGAACTCAACAACCAACAACCCCGGAAAAATAGAAAGGAAGTGCTCGTTATTGTTCTCCAATGGTCTAGGGGTGTCTTCGCCATGGTGGCGCCCCCCATTGGTAAAGACCGCATTCCACATTTCTTTCAGGCCATGAGTAACTGGGCTGTTTTGGTATAAGACCATAAGCAAGAATTTTGTTTTTCCGTCAGTCTCAAAATAAAATAGCTATTCTGGACTTGGAATTCTCCGATTTTGCTGCTGGCAACCAGCAGAGGGAGCATAGGATGCTTACATAGTTCTAGGGGTACCTTAAGTAAAAATGGGTCACCAACGGTATTCCAACTCAGACATACACAAATATAGTGGTGTCTCAGAAGTGTTTATATAAACCTTTATTCCACGTTGACTTTTGGACAACCGTCTGGCTAAGGGAAGAAATTCAAGCTCGGTTTCATTCCCGAGTCTTGCATGATCCACACCACTGCACCCGTGGAAGATATCAGGGAAGCTTTCCCTGTCTGATGATAGTGAAGCATAAGGCTATCATCTATCTAAAGTTAGTCGTCTTATTTTAGAGTGTTTCTCTTCTTTTATATCTTAGGTCTACCAACTTATTAATAGATATCTATGGATTTTTTGGCACGTGATTGTTACTATAGCAATTTCATAGTTTTTAGATGCAGTCTGGTCAATAATTTTTCCCCCCAAGGGAAATCCTAATTTCAAGCTCCGTAGGCTTTTACTATTGTTCCTCGTTCACCAGATAGTCACTATGTTTTTATCCTTCCAGGATGGGACAAGAGCTCAGGATTGTCTCTCAGCTATGAGACTGGTTGGGGAAAGGGGGAGAGGCAATGCCACTACCATGCAATGGTGAGCTGGCTGTTCTAGTTTTGTTTTTTCATCGGTATTCATGGGATCTAACGTTTCTTTTCTAAACTCCCAGTTCAGCATACAGGGCGGATGTCAGAGACTATGATCACAGGGTACTGCTACGATTTCCCCAAAGAGTGAAAAACCAAGGGACATCTGACTTCTTACCAAGCCGTCCCCGATATTCCTGGGAGTGGCACAGCTGTCACCAGTAAGTGGATGGGCCTCTCCTGACTTTTGGGATTCTCTTACATTTTTCAGACGATTATTCACATGCCTTCTCTAAAGCTAGAGATTTGGCATTATTTATACTTAGAACTTCTACTATATGGTTTGATGTCATCAATGAATATTAAACCTTAAAGATAGCCCCTTCACCACTAAATCCCATTATCTTTCTATCTGGAAACTTAAGGCGGGCTCTTTAAAATTGTTGAAAGGACACAACAGTGGCTGCCAGTACAATTTATTATTATGTAGAAGTATCTGCTATAGATAAGATCATCTACGAGCTCATCCAAAGTTGGTTAGCCTTAACAAGCATTTAATAAAAGCACAGCATTTTTTATCTAAAGGATTCAGAGACCATTCTCAAAACACACACAAGATAGACTTCAGGAACCATCCACTTCCATCTATTGAAAGGCCCAGAGTGGTTGCCCTACCCTTTCTAAATTTAAAGGTTTTCATTTTTAAGTTACATTTGCCTAGGTAATCTGCCCAACTATTCAGTGCCAGGAAATCCTTAAGTGTGGTCTCCTACTTATAGAAATTCAAACCCTCCCTCCTTGTAGTCCCTCCCCCTTGTGAGATGAGGAAGAGCTCAGAATCCTTTTAGTTAACGAATACAGAAAATTTAATGTGCATAATTTGCATATTAAAATAGAAATAGCTTATTTTGAAATGAAAGCTTATGCTGTTTAAATAATAGTAGTAGAAAAACCTACTGTTATTTTCCTCTTGCATTTCCAAAGAGAGTTTACAACGCTGTCACTCTAGTCTTTAGATTCTCATAGCAAGCCCTCCAGAGTAAAGCTCTTATCTGAAAAAAATCATCCTAACACCAACATCAGCACTGTCAACCAAATAAATGCACCTGAGACTTCACAAGTTACAAGCATAGGTAATGAAGTGTCTCCTATTTAATGTTCAAAGACAAAACCCAGTGTAAAGGAACAGATACTCTGTCTTTACCAAGAAATAAAGTTAAAAGCTTGCAATTTTGATACACTTATGTCCTTCTTGAAAAAAGAAATCCAACACAAATATCTCTTCAAGAAGATAAACTTGGGAGCCAGTTCTGGTGGCATATGTGTTTAGTCCCAGAGCTTGGGAGAAAGAAGCAGGTAGATTCCTGAATTCAAGGCCAGTATGGTCTACCGAATGTAAGTCCCAGGACAGCCAGAGCTACACTGTGAGACCCTGTCAAAAAAACAAAAACAGCACTGAGAGGTGGGTTGGGCTGGAGAGATGGTTCAGCATTGGTTTGTTTGTTTGTCGAGACAGGGTTTCTCTGTGTAGCTTTGTAGACCAGGCTGGTCTGTCTCTGCCTCCCCACCACTGCCTGACTGAGGTGGCTCAGTGTTAAGGGCACTTGCTGTTCTATCAGAGGACCCAGGTTTGATTCCCAGTACCCGAGTGGTGGTTCACAACTATCCATATCTCATCTCCAGTTCCAAGGGATTCAAAGCCCTCTTCTGACTTCCTTGGGCACCAGGCATGTGTCCATGGTGCAAAGATAACTTGCAGACAAAACATGCACACACATAAAATAAATAAATCTAAAAAAAACCAAGAAGATAAACTTGTCCTGTTTTAATTTATGAGCATAACACCATTTAATTTATGAGACAAGGAGGTTGCTTAATGTCCTCACTACTTTCTCTACACACCACTGACTGGTGTGTCTTTCTTGTGTGGAACATTAGACATTACCACAGCATGGATGAATTCAGCCACTACGACCTGCTTGATGCCAACACGCAGAGGAGAGTGGCTGAAGGCCACAAAGCCAGCTTCTGCCTTGAGGACACATCCTGCGACTACGGGTACCACAGGCGCTTCGCATGCACTGCGCACACACAGGTAGGCTGGCACCCAGGCATCAGGAACCACAGATACTCAGAGAAGATGAAAACAAAGGCATCCGTTGTTTCCTTCCCCCCAACCCTTCTTTTTTAAATCCTTTGTTTCATTTTGAGGTTATCTTATCAATGTGGAAAGTAATTGGGACAAAGCAAATGACTGGGTGGTGCAAATTGCTTTGAAAGTGTTTCCAGCTGGACTTGCAGCCCCTGCTGGTGATCACAGAAGGTCAATGAGGATCCTTGCTACACAACACAATGAGTAGTTCACTTTCTGAATACATATGAATGGCTTAAAACATCTGCCTTCATTCTGTGTTCCTTAATTGGTTGTAAATAGCTGTTGGCAATGTACAAATGTTTTCTCACCTGCAAAATCATTTTGCTTTCCACCTTCATTCTTAGTATGGGATAGGGCCTGAAGTTTGAACAAGGAGTTGAAGTCAGTGTCTTCAAAATACTTTAAACAGCATCAGTTTTAATAATGCAAGTAAGAGCAGAAAGACACATTTCTTTCTCCACACAAGTATATTTAAACCTACAGTGTAATTAAAGTCAGATGTCCTTTGGAGGGATTTGTTTTTAATAGTGCTGAGCTAAGCACTATTGTATGTCTAAGAATTGGAAAATGTGTGTCAGTTAAAAGTCATGTCAGTGTTTCCATCCAAAACCCTAATTTATAAAAGGACATTATAATTTTCCTCCAGCCCAACTCTTGGCAAGTAGTCCATGAATGTACATTACCCAGCATACAAACACATCAGCAGTCATCATCTTAGAGAGCAGATTTCAGGGTTGTGGCCAGAAGCTTTTTGGTGACCTACATGTGTGGACCATACTTCTTTTCTCTGGGATTAGCTCATCCAAGTGGCTAGAAAGGGAGACAGTTATATTTAACATGGGTTGGGCGGGACAGGGCAAATGCTTTAAGTGAAAGCCCAAACCTACCCACATGTTAAACTTGTATGTACTCATATAGAGATTGCCTTCTCATTCTGTGATCACCCTAGGAGAACCTGGGGCATTTATTTTTCCCTATTCAGAAAATGCCACACATTGATCATCTTAATCTAAGATGGAACACTTGGGTGGGGGGGGTAGTGCATATTTCAGCCCTAGAGGTTCTCCTATTTTCTGTCATAATCTCACTCTTTTTATGTTCATCCTTCTCTACACCTGTCTTAACAATTCTTCATTAGATTTTGCATTGTAAGTGATTTCTGTATTTTTGCTTTTTTCAATGGTCTATTGAACAGAATTCACTTAAAGAAAAAGAACATTCACACAGACCCCTAATAGTGACTGTTTTAGTTGTATTATACTAGTATCGTGTTCCTTAGATATTTATGAAGATAACTAGATATAATTTATGCAGATATATATAAAAATTACATGTTCTAAGATCACCAATTTACACACTAAATTTATGCACAATCAAAAATAGTCACATCACACTCATTGACTAAATGTAGCAAACAGCTACATTTTGTTGAAACTAAATAACATATTTAGGTAGTCTATAATGAAGTTATATTTTCAATTTAGTTTTACAATTGACTTTGAATACCTGAAATGTATTGCTTAATGGCCTGAGTAACTTCAGGTATTTATTTGCAAGTTCAAATAAAAAGAAGTTCAAAATTAGCGTATTCTGTAAGCTGGTGAGTCCTAAGGTAACAGTGTCAGCAATTTGCACTTACACATACACACATAGTACTTTTAAGATTGTGTGGCCTAGGCTGGCGTCAACTTCGTGGGATTATGTCGTCTTCCCGCCTCAACATTCTGGGCAATTGGGTTTATAGGTATATGTCAACATGGCAAACTTCAGCATTTCCAAAACACTTTTATTCGCTCGACACTAGCATTACTTCTACCTGTCTTCGATGGGTATCTACTCCAGTGCACAATTTAGAGGATCATACGTGAAATGGTAGTAATGGTAGTGGCAGTAGTTAATAGTTGTTTATTGTGTAAGGTGCCAGAATCAGAGAATGATATGGTGGAACCAGACCAAAAGCTCTTCTTTTTGTATTTCCTATCCAACACATAAAATGAGAATGGATCAAGGTGGGCACCCAGGCAAGTATGGTTCTCATCCTGTGACAAGTGCAATTTCGAGTTGGCTTGTCTATGCTGTCCTATGCAAAATTGCTCACTCTTCCCAATTCAGCGGTAGCCAAACCCACATCCCTAAAGCAGGCTTTTATTATCTTTGGTGACCAAAATGACCTTAAAGCACCAAAGCAAACTTGAGAGATGATTTTAAATAACACTTCTGAGTTCAAGTGATTGTAACATACATTTTTGAATCAATTTTGGATTATCAGAGTGAAAATACAACAGTTAAAGTTCTCATGAGGAAATAAGAAAATAAGAAAGCTATCTCCCCCAGTAAAAGAAAATTTCTTCAGCCTCATGAGAGAAAGGAGCATTTGTTCTTGGCATTTTTCTCCTGGCAGCCTTTTGAGACACCCATTGACTTGCTGGTGTGAAGGTCTTAACATGTGGCATGATGTGGCTTTGACCAGTGTAGGTATATATATCCATCCTTCTGACTAAACAAAGATTTCACCGAGAATGTGGTAGTTGAGAAAAGGTACCCTGGACCCTGTTCATACGAAACCAACTCAGTCATCCCCTAGCTGTTTGCTGTGGAATACGTTATTTGACCTTAGTGTGTCCCATCTTCCTCATCTATAAAATGGAGATAATAACAGACCTGTCTCATATAATTGTGAGAACTGGCTTTACACAATATTTTTAAAATGGCTCTGGCACATAATAATAACAAATGTTAGACTCTACCTTTGAAGAGTTTCTGTAACATGATTACAATACAGAGCAGAAATGGATGATTGCTATAAAGGTAAACATGACAAAAGACCATGGACATCAGAACATAGGAAGGTCATTGCAAGTATGTTCGCTGATAGGATATGGGACTAAGTTACTATGAGACCTTAATTCCTGGTGTGATAATCTTAAATTGTGGCAGAGGTCTATTTGGTTGCTTAAGACTATTTTCCACTGGTGACTTCAGAAATAAGGCACACTACTTCATACTGCAGTCCCTATAAAGTACTAGGTAATAAAAACTGGGTAACCTGTGGTTTCAATGGAGATGAAACAGAAGTATGCTATCAACTTAAGTTTTAATTTACCAATGATATCAAGTCTGTTTGTTTTAGAACAGTCTAGCCATACACTAAAATTTAATTTTTACAATTTTGCTGATTTCAGGGATTGAGTCCCGGATGTTATGATACCTATGCAGCAGATATAGACTGCCAGTGGATTGATATTACAGATGTACAACCTGGAAACTACATTCTAAAGGTAGGGGCTTTGAATACATGCAATTAACTATGAGGATACAATACACAGCCTTTTCCTGGCTTCAAATATTAAATAATCACGGTCTTGAAAGCAACCCAGAGGATGATGCTTTTAAAAAGAGCTCAGAGAAATTTACACAACTCCCTTTGTAATGTATCCATTGCTTTACCTAAATTACATTTCTCACTTGATTTAACTGGCTCTCTTTTTAACAATTTCACTGTAGCATCTCTATGGAAATATGAGGGAATAACAGCATATAGTGAATAGGAAATCTTTCACCATGCTATTTTTGTTGTCCAGGTCAGTGTAAACCCCAGCTACCTGGTGCCTGAATCAGACTACAGTAACAATGTTGTACGCTGTGACATTCGCTACACAGGACACCATGCCTATGCCTCGGGCTGCACAATTTCACCGTGAGTATTATTTGGCAAGCCAAGTAATTTCTTTTACAAATAACTTTGTACTTGATGCTAGCCAAAAGGCTGAGAAGTGCTTACAAGTTCTGCACCCTGGATTTACACAGCGCTGGTGTATGCTTCTACGACCACAGCTTCCTTGCAAATGAAGCAAAGCAATAATTAAATATAGGGTCCATGTTATTATTTTTGACAGTACTGGAAAACGAGGATGCAGTAATGTTTTACTCATGCAATATTTTATATATTGCTCACCTGGAAAGATGCAGTGCTTACCTGCCAAGTTCTGTAGCAGTTCAGTCCAACAAATTGCTCATTAATCAGTGTAAGTGAGCTTGTAGGAGCCACAGCCATTGACTTTTGTCCCTTTCCCCCATGTTCCCTGATGGGGATGCAAAGAAATTCAAGGCATTTTCCAAGGTACACTTTCATGTGCTGACTGCAAAAATTTGTGTGTGTGTATACGTGCACACACGTGTGCGTGTGCATTTCTTCCTCCATAAATCCCTTAGTCTTGAAATTAGTTTGTGTCTCTTAGAAGGAATCTCAGCTCATAAATATTAAGCAGAAGTTCTTTAATGAAGAGGAAAGTAGGGCAGGTGTGTCTGGTTGCTATCTATCTTGTCTGACTCCATTAAAGCTTTGCCTGCTTCATGTTATGCTAATTGCTCCTTCCAGACAGTGAGAAGACCACAGGAATAACTAAACATACACCATTTTTGAACTGATGTTGTAGAGATACTGGTAGCTTAAAGGCACCGTGTTACCTCACACAGGACCTTTCCTTATTTACATAAAGGAACAGAGTCAGTCTGTACTCTGCAAGCATTATCATATTACTAGAAATAAATGAGGCTGATGACAGTAAAGAATTAATACTGGAAAATTAACTCTTCTGAGTATGTCCACAGCACAGAAAGCTTGTCTGGGTCATTGGTCCACCAAGCATGAAGTTAGTCTCAGCATTGAAGGCTCCATAATCTAAAATAATTTATCATAAAATGAATAGGTAGTTGATTCTTTTGTTCTGTTAACTCATTCCCCATTTATTTACTTATTCTCACTTCGCACTGTATATTCAAGGTCCTAACCTGGTATCAAGAAGCAATATTAAGATAGATATAATGGTTACCTTGTAGCCTTACTATAGCAATTTCCAAGTCTTCCATATAAATTTCTTTGTTTGTATTCTTCCCTACACCCAAATGGCCAGGGTCTAACTTAGCTTGTTCAAATGGCCAGGTAAAGACCTGCCATTTGCAGCCTCCCACTCCACGTTTCATCCATGAATTACTTGTCTCTCAGGAAATAGAGAGTTAACTTTAGAACAGCATTTGAATTTGGCCTTGAGCCCTTAGAACTACAAAAGCAATTCTGGGGAAGGGCATATCTAGAGGAGTCCAAGTCATGGGCAACTTCCTAGCAGAAGTGGATTGCAGGCAGAGTTTGCAAAGGCACCTTCCAGCTGGGTTTGTCAGCTGTGGGGAAATCGAAAGGACAACTGAAGAACAGGCTAAGAATTTTCAGTTTCTCTCTGGAGGCCATGAAAAGAAATCTGCCGTTTTTGAGCAGGGAGTAAAATGCACATAAAGCCTTGTGGACAGTCTGATAGGGAAGTGTGTGTGACCTCACGCTGTCAATACTGGACTTTCCCTCCCTAACTCTAATGACATGTCACTGTTGGCTCCCTCATTGTTTCTCATGCCAGTCAAATACCTGGAACCATTCTGGTGGAATGTAAAATCCACCCAATAATTTGGTACGTTCCACTTGTGAGGCCTCCTTTCCTCAGTCTTCTCAGATGACTCATGCCCTTTTTTGCTTCTGCCGTGCTACGTGACTGGACTTTCTCCTCACAGAAACTGATGTTTCTGTTTAGAAATGGGCAGTTTACGACTTGAACACAAGTGTGTTTTTCTCTGTATGAGGACCAGTGATCAGCATTTCAATACAAAAATTCCTCGCTCATGGTCTTTCCTGTAATTTTCCATTAATGCACCATTCTGTACCCAGAAGCATGCAGAGTAAGACAAATGCAAGACATTGCGGAAGCCAGACTGTCTCCCGGTGGACGCATCACTCTGGTTCCCTGGAACGAGTTCACCTGCTTGGGTGCTGGTTCCTTAAGTCCTGCTTAACTTTCTCTTCTTTCAGTCTTGTAGCTTGTTTGTTTTGCCTTTTAAACACCCAGACTGTGGACATGCACTTCATGTTACTGACATATTGCATATTCTTTCCCTCCAGTCACCATTAAATCATGTTCCAATCACAATTTTAGAAGATGATTATTGCTGAGACAGAGGAAAATTGTTACAAGTTTTGAAAAGGCTGACAAAAGTGTGCTATTTGTCATGCTCATTCATGATATTATCCTGCTAATAACTTGTCCCATGTGTTCTCTTAATATAGGTATTAGAAAGCAAGCCCAACTCCCACTGGATAAAGCAGTGCCTGGTGTTTGGAAACATGAAAAACATAGATTAGCTTCAGTAGGAAGGACTTACATATTTTAAAAGGCAAACAACAAAAGAAGTTTTGTTTGGACTCTTTCATAGCAAACAGTGTAACTGGATTTTAAGCATCTAAATCAGCATTATTTGGGAAATTTTAAATACTTATTCATGTTGTTTTGTGAATTAGCGGTGCTTCAGTTTTGTAGGTGCCTACTTGGCTCTTTCAAAGAACCCCAAATTTCTTATCTTCTTTTGAAATTATAGTGCAAAAGAGAAAATGGTATTTTAATGAATGAGCCATAATTTGAACTGATTATTTTCAAAAGTGCAGCAACCAGTCAAACAACAAGGATGGGCTTAAGCTTGCCTCAATACAGATTGATTTTAAAATGATATTCCTACTGTGTGAGCAGGAATGGATACATTTGGTGCTGAGGAAGGGTCAAATACATAACTCTTGTTGTCAGGAGATATTACTCTATAGCAGAGAGATGGCAATATATGTATTCAGATAATTATATCCCTATATAAAATCATGTTTACATTTTTAAATTGCTAGATAATTTCTTTCTGTTAAGTGCTTCACTTTACTCTGACTTGAGTCAACTTCTGTTTTGGAATGAATTAGATCATTCCAAATTCCTGTCTGATATTTGCTGATATTCGCCTCTACACTTAGTTTTTCCTGTGGGCAGAAATGTCTAACGTGGCAATCTTCACATTGTGTGGATTGACAACATAGGGGAAGCAATTCGATGTCATGTATGATCAAGGTAGAGCAGATACGCCTGCAGCACGTTCTACTGTTAGCCAGGATGAAGTCACTGCTGACATAGAGATTACGTAATGAATCTCTAACACTACAGCCATCTTTAAAACACTGTAAAAAGAAATACTGGAAAAACCTTATTTTAGGATTTTTTTCAACTCTTCTACACTTCTAAAATGTTCAACTATTAAGGGGAATGCTAAAAAAAATGAAGTCATCCATAATATATGACTACTGTGTGCAATACAAGACCATCATCCTAGATTCTGCAGGAATTGGGTGTGCATGTTTCTGTGTTATTTACAAAAGACAGTCCAAATCAGCGCAGCACATAGCATTGCATACTTGAGAGGTTGGCGAGCAAGAGGGAAGCAGGCATTTTCCGCGACGAAAACGCGGACTGTGCTCCACAAAGAGATCTCTGTGACCTTACTTCAAACTGTGAAACCGTGCAACAGTAGAAATTGGAAACTCTTAAAAATTCAGAAGGTGCAGAAAGAAATCAAGTTAGACTTTTATGTTCCTGGTGCTTAAGCTGAAGTTTTCTTTTGTTAACCAGCATTAAAATCTCAAGTAAGGTGTTTACTGTGCCAAAACGTGTCAGGCAGACCTTTCCCAGCAAGCTGGGATCCTGTCTTATGTGTCATAGAGTTGTTAAGGGTAACAATTACTAATCATCATGCTGTACTCACTGCTGCAGGGGCAGGTGAGAAGGGCCAGAGATGGGCAGTTGCCAGGGGCAGATAGCGCGGTACACAATTCGTGTCTGCCTGAGCACGCACTTACCCATAAACATATAAAGACAGAAGTTTGATTGAGCTGGTACCTGATTCATGGGATTGCTTCTTTGATGTGCCTCCTTGCCTTAGATTGCTTTTCAGTTTTAAAATTGTAGAACGATCCTTTCAAATTATAATCATTCTGATAGAGATATTTTAATATACGTGCTTTTAAAAACAAAACAAAAACTACTGTCAGTATTAATACTGAATCAGACTGGCATGCATAGATTTAACATCTCATCTTACTAAGATTCTCAACTCTAAAAAATAGTAGGCTAATAATATGACTTTTAGATAATTAGGATAATAGTTTCAGTGAGACCCTTATCTCATTAGTCATCATCATATGGATAAACCAAGCATTTACATGCTAGACATTGGAAAACAAAGCCTGTCCCTAACTTTACTAAGTACAAAAATTAGGCTCACCTTTCATTGTCAACTGTTAAAAATATGTCTATAGAATTTAAAATTTAAGCACTACTATTTGTCATGGCCATACTTTATTTTTTCAAAACGTAAGTTAAAAGTTATTAATTATATACATGTATGTATTTCTATTAATTAAAATATGTTTCAAATCCATAAAATGTCTGCCTTTTAAATGTAATTTGGGATTTTTGTTTCAGTTGAAAAGCTGTTTATTCATAAGCTTTTCTTTCCTTTCCACAATTTTAAAACAAAACAAAATGACTTGTAAGTACTGACACAGCACTTTATATAGTTAACTCTTGGGCATGTGTTCTCCAAATGACCATCAAGCTCATTGGTAATTAGTTGGTTAAGAATGATAATAAAAACCACAAGTTAGTCTAAATTTTTAAAAATAAATGAGACTAACAGAGCTCCAAAGATTGAAAAGAAACTTGTTTTTGCACTTATAAAGGCTGTGGGGAGGGGGGGAGGAAAACAACATAGGTAGGTCTACTCATTGCCATCTAAGTAGAATCATGATATTGAGATCACAGATCCCATCTCCAGTGGGGCCTTGGCATATTCCCTAGGTGTTCTTCATAACAGTAGTGTATTGTTCTTTAAAGTTAGTGTGTTAGGTACAAGTGTGAACACCTTTCTTTATGTTCAGAACCTAGAGGAAGGTTTCCCCTACCGATCATTAATTAAGCAGATTGTAAGAGGATACTAAAGTCTTAGTCAGGAAATACTTTAGAAATTGTTTTCATATTCAAATTCACATATACAATGTAAAAAGTAAATTTCATTTCCAGATTCCCTAAGTTCTGGGCCATTTTGAATACAGGTTTTGTTTAGTTTTCAAGCTGAAATGGTGCTGAATTATCTTAACTTGAATGTAAAATGCAAGAAGTCTTAGCTCACGTGACACAGACATTTATATAGCTGCTTGCTGCACACTAGGTCACATGTCATTTGGTATGAGAACGTCTATAATGAAGTTGTGGTTTCTTCCATTTTTTATGGAATTTTTATTTGTAAAAACATTTGTAACTTGTTTGAGGAGCTTATATTTTAAATGCCGAGACACAGGCTTTCTCCTGCATTCTCACCCTTTTTTATTATGTGCTGTAGCTGCATGATTACATAAAAATGCCTGAGAAAATGATTTCAAGTGTCTAAAGTGGTTATTTGCCATTACCTACAAGTAAATGATCTGAACTTCATTTTTGATTAAAACATTAAAGCCATGTATATGATCTATATTCTTGCTTAAGTGCCTTTTTATTTTTGAAATTATAACATCATTACATCATTTCCCTATCCACCCTCCAACCCCTTACCTTGACCTCTCTCAAATTCATGGCCTCTTTTTAAAAAAAAATTGTTAGTGATACATTCACAAACACACACACACACACACACACACACACGGAGAGAGAGAGAGGGAGAGAGAGAGAAAGAGAGAGAGAGGGGGGGGAAAGAGAGAGATTCCTAAATATACGAATACGGCCCTATCACTTCATATAATGTTACCGTATTCTGTAATCTCAGAGCTGACCAGTTGGGGGGCTTTTCCTAGTGGGAGACCATTTCCACTACTCTCAACATTCCCCAATGGTACATAGTCCTTTCTCTAGGATTTGGACCCTGCAAGTTTTTGCCTTTCCATGTTAGCATGCCCATTGGTGTCATCATTTTTCAGATCTTGCTTAGGTAGCCATACTGATGAAATTTCATGGGTGTAGGATCTCTGACAATTCCAGGAAACACAATCTTACAGAAAGCTCCCTGTTCCTCTGACTCTTACAATCTTACAACCCCCTCTTCCACAATGATACCTGGGTCTTGGATGCACCAGTTGCGCTGTAGCTGTATCAATTGTGACTGAACACCACAGGATCTCTTGTTCTCTGCATTTTGGTCAGTTGTACTTTTCTGTAATGGTCTCCATCTAACGCAAAGAGAAGTTTTTTGAATGAGTGGTAAGAACTACACTTAGCTGAGGGTATAAGAATAAATATTCAGAATGTAGTTAGGATGGTTTGATAAAATGACAGTTGTAGTTCACCAACATCCATGACTTTATTAGCCCCAAGTCATTAGCTGGGTACAATATTAGGAATGGTTTTCTTCTTGTTGAGCGGGACTTAACTTCAGTCAGGGAGTTGATGGTTGCGGCCAAGATATGCATGGCACTGTTGCATCTTAGGATTATTGTGCCATGCTTGTTGTTGAGGTTTATAGTCATAGTATCTGGGTAACACTTACCTACCTTGGAAGCTTACCCAGTGCCTTCTGGTTTCATAAAAGCTAGTTTTAAGTGAGGGACTTTCAGGCTAATTTTGAGTCTCTAGAAAGTTGAGGAAGCCACAGAAGGAAAGTTTGTAACTACTAAAAGTTGGCTTATGAGGTTTAAGAATAGACAATGTCTCCAAATCACTAAGCACAAGCACAATCTGAAAATAATCTTGTATAAACTGCAATAACTTGAGTAAACCACACAGTTAACTTATTTAAGTGGCTACAAGAGCAACAGATTTCCCATATAGACAGAAAAAGAACATACAAAAACATGCCACCTAGGACATTAAGAGGCAAAGGTGGGGGAAACTAAATGCTTGGCTTCAAAGCACAGAAGCTTCAAAGAACAGATAATGTTCTTGCTATGGGAGTAATGCAGAGCTGACTTGAGATTGAAACATTAGTCCATGTTCATTTACCATTCTGAAAATCCTAGAGTACTACACTCCATAAATGGTCCCACAAACTCTAGGGGACAGCACATCTATTTAAAACATGACTTACCTAAATTGTAAACACTTTGTAGAGCTATTCCTGAGAAACAAAAATCCACACAAAAAATGTCACTCCCCACTGGCAACACACCTGGTCCCTCAAGAGCTCTGATGATAATAGACAGGGAGATATACTGAAATTGTTTTTGTGCTCATGAGAACATCTCCCTTTCTGCAGTACATAGATCGAGGGGAAATTTTAGCTTTTAAGATTCTTTATTTAAGCAACATTTCTAAACCTGTTGCTGCTATAAATATTGAATCATCTGTACAAAATAAAAACCTTCTGAAGAAATTTCACCATCCTGGATGCCATTAAGGACATTATGAGGAGGATGTCAAAGTAACCACAACCTAAGGATATAGGAGGTCAACATAACCTCAGCTGGGTTTTGGAAGAAGTTTATTACAGTCTTCATGGGTGATTCCCAGGAGCTCAAGCTTTGGTGAAAAAGATAACTACAGATGTGGAAATAGTGAGAACCAGACTTAGAAGAGGGACTTGTAGATGCAACTACATTGCAGCATTTTGTTATGAGACATTAACAGATGAGGAGGACGGATGATCATGGAAGGTAGGCTCATTCTTGGGGTAATAATTACTGCTAGTGACGATGCTGTGGGCATTGTTGAAATGGCCACAAAGAATAAATTCGGTTGATAAAGTACAGCAGATATAATCCAATTTTGTGAATGGTTATAGAGTAGGTAAGATGCTGTGAAAAAGCATTGCCTGTTACAGAGAAATCACTCATTAACCTGAGTAAGCAATATAGAAAATGTCACTTCTGTCTTATTTTAAGAAATTTCTACAATCAACTTCATCTTCAGCAATCTCCACCATGATCAGTTAGCAACTATCAACATGGACCTTCCAGTAGGAAAAGTATTTCCAGTCCACTAAAGGTTAAAATAATTTTTAGAATTTTTTGCAACAAAATATTTTAAAGTTATGTGTACTTTAGACATAATGAATATTTTATAGACTAAAGCTTATATAAGATAGTTTTACATGCATTCAGAAACCAAGACACTTGACTTATTGTGGTACTTGCTCTATTGTAGTGGTCTGGAACAAAGTACATGTACCCTCAGGCATGCCACTAACACATAATACAGTGTGAACGCTATGCTATGTAAATCATAGTTACAATGCACTAGTTAGGAAATCATGACAAGAAAACTAAGTTGTCCAAATTCAGTACAGACTCATTTATTTTCCAAATATTTTCCATCTGAATTTGGTTGAGTGGGGGAATGCAAAGCATGCAAGTATGGAAATTCCAGTTTCACAAGATACCAAACTAAAAAGAATTTCTTAACAAACCGAACCTGGAAAATGTTCTCTTTCCAGTGGATGTTTTAGTATGTATTACTCTATGGGAAATTCTGCAAAGTTCTGCAGCAAAGACACCACTTCATCCCTATTGCCATTTCTCAAATTGGATTATTTTTTGTTTTACATTTTATAACACTTAACTCACCAAACTGTTTTTGCTTAGAAGATGGTTGGAAGTGTTAATGGTAAATAATTACAATTGCACATATAAAATCATCTGTGAACAAATGTATGGTGCTATCAACACCTGAAGCTTATCGATTTGCAATTTGTTTTGTATCCTTAAATTGTATACGTAAGTAGGACCTCTTCAATGGGAAGGGCTACACTAGTTTAAACTAGCTTTCTTCTTAAGAAATAGGAATTGTACCTATTTATCAGATGACTTGACTACTTTGGTACCCCTTATTAAATTTTTTATCTTCAAATCTTAGCGGTGTATAGCACACATAGGGAACTAATCCTTTTCTTCATGGATCTTTCATTTTGTACATTCATTATTTTCCACTGTACCCCATTGTGCAGTTTTCAGTGAATTCCAACTAAATGTTAGTAGTCATTACAGGAGGCAGGGCAAAGAAAGGTTAGAGTGAATGCCTGGGAAGAAAGGGTGTGCGTAGTATATCCATAGTTTTACTTTCTGTGGCTTCAGTTACTTGTGGTCACTTATGGTCCAAAAATATTAAATGGGAAATTCCATAGATAAACCATTCATATGCTTTAAATTATACACCATTCTAAGTAGCATGGTGAAATGTCATGCATTCCTGTTTCTTCCTGTCAAAGGCACAAATCATGCATTCCTCCAGCACACTCACATTATATGTGATATTTGTTCCTTAGGCACTTTAAAAGACTGTTGATTGTGGTGTTTATGTTCAAGGAACCTTTATTTTAATACTGGAAGGTGCTATGCAAGCTTCCCATGGTGAGAAACAAATAATAGTCCTACCCAGTTGTGAGCCTATGACCCACAACAAAACTAACATGGCAAGATATCCCTAAAGGTACAATAGTAATACTCATATCTTGGTGGTGCCCAACAGCTATCTAATTGGAATTAGGAGGTAAATCATGCCTGGTACCAGAAACAAGCAATGACCCAAGACAATTTATGTCACAAGTCATAGAGGTGAACCTACAATTGTCACTTTACTAAAACAGCATAATTCCTAACTGCATTCTAAACACTTAGATGAGGATAGTTGTCTCCTCTCATCAAAGATACTTCTCTTTGCAAGGGGAGGCTATTATAGAAAACCACAACCGATCAAAATGGAGAGAATAAGTGATCATGGGGTATCCAGCCCTAGCTGGAAGCTTCATTCATTATACCTCAACAATATGGTTGCCTAGACACGACCCAGACAAATATAACACCAATAGACATGATAACATGGAAATGGGGAAATTTTATGGGGTTCCAACCTTAGTAAAAGGTAGGCAACCAATGAATTTTGAGAATGGGAGAATTGTCTTCCTCAGGAGTGAATCCCCTAATTGGTTATCCAATATCAATTAGTTAGCCCTGAAATCATGTGCATACAAGTAATACCAAATGCAGTAAACAAGTTGTATTTGTATAGTATACACACACACACACACATATATATATATATTGTACATATATAAATATCAATTAAAAAATGGAACCACACAATCTTGGTGCCTGAAAGTCTTGGTCTTTACCACCCAGTTTGTTAGCCCTAAAGAAAATTCAATCATCTGTGGCTTCAGCTCCAACTGTCCAGGGAAGACATTTAGTAGAACCGGTCTGTCTCATGGAGACTGCTGACACAGTGTGTGGCTTCCGTGACTGGCCCGTACAGAGTCAAGTTATCAAGCTGTTGTAACTGGTAAAGCAAAGAAGGTAGGGTGAAATAGGAGCGAGATGTCCTGCCCCTCAAATTACATGACTGTTAGAGAAAGTGGGGGAGAGGACAATGGTCACCCAGAAGATTCTTGGATACCAGCAAGCCACTTTGACTATGTTTAGCAAAAAGATCAATAAAACCCGCAGTTTATAACCCCCAGCTCAAAACCTTTCCTCCAATCTGCTCAATAAGATGGGGTTTTGTTCTGGGATCTCAGATATGGTGTAATCCATGCAGCTTCCTTTCCTCTTC